TAAAGTCATTATAGCTTCTCCTGTCTCCAAAATTGCTTCCATCATTACCGAAATGGTAAATGGTAAAGCTGTCCCCATTGCCACTATATACCACCACCTCGACTGCCACCAAAGCCACCTCACCAGTGAAGTTTCCTCCATGACTAAAGTTGTTGTTCCCACTAAAACCACTTCTACGACCACCACTGAAATTTCCAGAATCACTTGGACATCTTTAGATGGATGAAGCACAGCCATCTCTTGCTTAGATAGAGTTTTTCTTACTTCACAGTTGTGGGCATTCACAGCATGGTATTTTTAAAAATTTATTTATTATTTTGAGAGAGAGAGAGAGCACATACAGGGAAGGGGCAGGGAGAGAGAGGGAGAAAGAGAAGGAATATCCTAAGCAGGCTCTCACGAACTGCGAGATCATGACGTGAGCCAAAATCAGAGTCAAACGCTGAACTGACTGAACCACCCAAGAGCCACCAGTATGGTATTTTTGAACAACACTCTTGTCCACAGAGTCACAGTCATCAAATGTTACAAAAGCAAAGCCTCTCTTTTTGCCACTGCCTCGGCCAGTCATGATTTCAATCACTTCAATTTTCCCATACTGTTGAAAATAATCTCTTAGATGATGTTCTCCAGTGTCTTCTTTAATGCCACCAACAAAAATCTTTTTCACTGTTGAGTGGGCACCAGGTCTTTGAGAATCTTCTCTCGAGACAGCCCTCTTTGGTTCCACAACTCTTCCATCCACCTTGTGTGACCTTGCATTTATGGCTGCATCCACCTCTTCTACAGTGGCATAGGTGACATATCCAAAGCCTCTGGAGCACTTGGTGTTTGGATCTCTCATTACCACGCAGTCCATAAGCGTTCCCCATTGTTTGAAATGGCTCCTCAGACTCTTGTTGGTTGCTTCAAAGCTCAAACCTCCCATGAAGAGCTACCAGTTTTAATTGCTTTCCATTTTCCCTCTTAACAAAGGAAGCACATGCCTTCACCATATGACTAAATTTGTCCAGGATCTTAATTCCGGTCTCTGCAGCATGGAATCCATTTTCTGCCTGAGGACATTCTTCTCCAGTTCAATATCAGTTGCCCTCTTAGCCTGCTGTACAGCTCTCCTTCTAGGCTCTCCTTTCATTGGGTTAGGGATTAGTGTTTCTTGAGTCTCAGGTTTTTCTTATTCATGAATTCCTTTCTCTTTTTACTGATTCATCCTTAATTGATTTTTTAGAAAGAATTTTTGAAAGGTGAGCTTTCTGAGTTCTTACATGTCCGAACATGTCTTCATTTTACCCTTGCAACTGAATGATAGCTTAGCTGGTTATGATATTCAGATCCTCAGAACTCTGAAAGCCATGCTCCACTGTCTTCTGACACCGAGTGTTTTTGATGAGAAAACGATGAGTGCCAATTAAGTTTTTATTCCGTTGTAACTGACCTGTTGCTTATTCTCTGGAAGCTTTTAGAATCTTCTCTTGGTCTTTAATGTACTACAAAATCACAAGTTTATAGTGAAATATGGTTTTCTTTTCATTTATTTTGCTTGGCACTCAGTAAGCCCTTTTACTCTGAAGACTCCTATCTTAACTCTAAGAAATAGTCTTCTATTATTGGTCTCATTATTTTTTACCCTGCATTTTCTTGTCTCCTGAAACTATTTACTTGGCTATTATCCCTCCTGGATTTGACCCTAGATAGTCATTGGACTTTTAAAAACATTTCTTCCCCTCTGTCTTTTTGCTTTACACGTTGGGATATTCCACTGACCTTTTCTTTCAGCCCTTATGTTGATTTTTTTTATTAAAGGAAGTTGGGGTGTATGAGTGGCTCAGTCGGTTAAGCATCCTACTTCAGTTCAGGTCATGATCTTATGGCTTGTGAGTTCGAGCCCCACGTGTTCAGAGCCTGGAGTCTACTTTGGATTCTGTGTCTCCCTCTCTCTCTGTTCTTCTGCTTGTACTCTCTGTCTCTCAAAAATAAACATTAAAAATTTTTTAAAAAGGAATTAACTATATTTTACATTTCCAACAATTCTTTTTTGTTCTCTGATTGCTTCATGTACATAAACTTGTTTTATGGATATATGGGCTTCTCAAATTTTCCTGAGGTCACGAATTAGAATACATAAAAAAAAAAAAAAGAAGAAGAAGAAGAAGAAGAAAGAAAGAATTATCTATTTCCTCTGAGGTCAGCTTCTTTTTAAATAGTTTTTTTTGAAAATATTAAAATTATACCTCTTTGTGGTTACTTTTCAACTAAGTGAACCAGAAAAATATATATCAGGAAAATTGCCTACCCTTTTCCCTGTTAACAAAAAACAAGTTCTAGGGGCACCTGGGTGGCTCAGTCGGTTGAGCATCTGAGTTTGGCTCAGGCCATGATCTCATGGTCTGTGGGTTCGAGCCCTGTGTTGGGCTCTGTGCTGACAGCTCAAAGCCTGGAGCTGCTTCGGATTCTGTGTCTCCCTCTCTCTGTGTCCCTCCCCCAGCCTGTCAAAAACAAATATTAAAAAATTTTTAAAGAACCAAGTTCTATTAAGGAAAATTTCAATGATAGACAAAATATAACAAACTCCATGTACTCATTACCCAGCTTCAATAAATATCAGCATTCTGCCATTCTTATTTCACCTATACCTTTCCCTTCTCCTGTATATTTTTATAACCAAATTATTAATTAATCTTCCACATTGAACTAGTTATTTGAATTTATTTTTCATTTAGTAAACTATCCTGTTAGATCATATCATACACTTCTTCATATATCACCTAATGCAGTGAATGACAGTATTAAAAAATGTAACAAAACTCCCATTTAACAGAGCACTATCTATGCCATATACTGTGCTCATGCTTTAGAAAACACTGGTTTATTTAATTTAAGATGATTAATAAGGTAGGTGCCTGCCCTTTAATCTGCAAAGGATGTAGCAATGTTGTTTGTTAAAGGAATAGTCAAAAATTAAAATTAAAACCAATGTTTCTGTAAAGAGAATTGTGTGTTCATGATTGTGTTTCTCAGGTACAATAAAATGCCAACACAACTGGAGATTCTGTTTGTAAGGAAGGACTCATTCTAAAGAAATCTTTTTTTAAATGTTTATTTTTGAGAGAGAGAGCGAGAGCACATGCAAGCGCAAGTGGGGAAGGAGAGAGAGAAAGGAAGCAGAGAATCCAAAGCAGGCTCCAGCCATCAGCATAGTGCTAGACTTGGGGCTCAAACCATGAACTGTGAGATCATGACCTGAGCTGAAATCAAAACTCAGACACTTAACTGACTGAGCCATCCAAGTGCCCCTCTAAGAAAATCATAATATCTATTCTCTGAGGGACAAATAATGGCTTTTCAGTAATTTAGTACCATATTTACATCAGTTATAACCCCAAATTATAAATAAGATGCTGCTATAAGAACTGAAATACTTTTTAGTGTATACGTGATTCTAAAATTCAGGAATAAACTAAGAGTTTTAGCAAATTAAGAGCCAAAATATCTTGTTTATGCCCATTGAAGGCAGAACATGAATTCAACCAAGTGCCTCACAACCATTTCTCTCATTTTCTCTCATTCTGCCTTGTTCAGTTTTATGAAGTTCCCCCAGAGCTCTGCCATCATTCACTGGTGAACCAGTACTGGTTAGTGGAGGAAAGATGGGGATTTGAATCAATGTACTGTTGTTTGATAGCCTTTTGACCATGGGCAAGTTACTTAATTTCTCTAAACCTCAGTTTCCTCATTTACAAAATTAGGAAAACAGTACCTCCCTCCTTGGGTGTTCGTAAAGATTAAGAAATACATCACACTAAGCAAGTAGTACAGGGCCTAGGACTTAAATATGTATAAATGATAATTATTATTCCTGTGGGATTCATAGGTATGCTCTATGCTACCGGCAGGGTAGCCAGATTTAGCAAATAAAAATACAGGATATTCAGGTAAATTTGAGTTTTAGGTACATAAGAATAATTTTTAGTCTAAATACATCACAAATATTGCATGGAATATACTTATACTAAAAAATTATCCATTGCCTGATGTTCAAATTTATGAGGGCATCCTGGCAAAATAGCTTCTCCTTTAAAAGGGAAACTTTTAAAATAAACTTATAAGGGATAAAGTTGTGATTAAATTTGATATTTCATCTGCTCATACTTGGTAGTCTCCTATCCTCCAATACACTCAGTATTTTCTCTTCCAGGCAATGCTCAAGCATCATATATCAAAGAAACAAATAGTGTCCATATCTTGGAGCAGAATGTCAACTTTTCCCCAAACTGAAATCTGTTGGATCAGTTACTATCCTAAACTAGGTATGGGTTTTAAAACTACTTAGTGAATTCTATTTGTATTTAAATCTTTATTTGGAAAACCACAAAGCACTACATATGAAAGTCATATTGAGGATCACTAAAACTATACAAACTACACATCTCTGGCAGCGCTCAATATCTCTGAAACACTATTTCAAATGTTCTCATTTTCTTTGTGTGCACCATGTTTTCTTTGTGTGCACCAGGTAATTATTTTTGAAACTGTGCTTGTTATTAGCACAGACACACAAGATAAATAAAGCAGATGGGTTTTTATATTTTATTCCAATCAGACTGTAGATCTTAACCTCTTATCTAGACTAAAAAGCCTGTTATCCTACCAGTATTTTAGCTAATTTGTAGTTAGATCTTTTAATGAGATTTTAAAAAATAGCTTTCCAAAGCGCAGGGGGTGGGAATTACTTTATGGTAATATACTCTTCTATCTCTTTTCCATTTGCGGGAAATGTAATCCATAATTCCTTGCTTCAATAAGCAACGTGAGGAAGCGAGAGATGCCGGAATGTCTTTATCCATTCACTCCTTGAAAGCATTTGCAGGCTGTGTTAAAATTTCCAGGGAGATGATAATGCAATTATCCAAAAAATAATATATGTGCTATATTTATTTCCTCATCCATAATTTTTTATTTGCCAATACACTGAAGCAGTGCTTCATTTGTTCTTCCTTAAAAAAAAAAAAAAAAAATGCACCTTCTGCCCAAACTCCTTTTTCATCGTGTCACCACCAATCGCGGGGGCGCTGTACTCTTTAGCTCCATCTCGTGTAGAAAAACGTCGACTGCACCCTCAGCTCCGACCGAGGGGTGCATCCACTACCCTGGAGAAGATGAAAAGCCAGGAACTTTATTTAGGCATCACCACGAAACGAAGAAAGGAGTTCCTGTAAATCCTGTCTCAGAAAAAGCAGGTCTTAGAGCTGACAAGCACCTCGGGAAAGCATATATATTGATTTACTTGATACGCTCTACTGAATCTGGAGAAGAGTATACTCCGTTGAATTAATACTGACGTATTTAGAGTGAAATTTCCATCGAGCTGCGATTCCTGGTGAAATCCTTCAGAAGGGCCAAGTAAGGGCATTCTCTGAGCAGCAGTACGTACTACCCTAAATGCCTCACGGGAGCCTACAGCAGAGCTTAGTCACGTCATAGAGCCCAAAGGAGAACGCCTCGAGACGGTGTGGGAGGCCGTTCGGGGAGAGGGTGGTGAGGTCCCCTCCTCGGTGAAGACGACTCTGGCAGACCGAAGTCGTTTCCGTGTTTTCGCCCCGCGCCGCCGGGCCCCGGTGGCCCACGGCATCTCCCCAGAGTTCTCCTGAGAAACCTGAGGGTCAGGGACGCCCACCTTTTGCTTGTTATTATAAATGTGCTTATTAAGCCTCATGATTTTTAAAGTTGCCATGTGTGGTTTTTGCTTCCTCTGAGCAGGGGAGAGGGAGCCCAAGCGTCCCTCAGAGGGGCGGGGAGGCGCGGGGCGAGGGGGGCGGGGCAAGGCGGGGCCGAGGCCTGGGGCCGGGGCCTGGGGCGGGGCGTCCTCCCCGAAACGGGCAACGCCGGGCCGCGGGAGGGAGGCGGCGGCGGCGGTGGCGGCGGCGGCGGCGGCAGCAGCGGCGCGGGTCGAGCGGCGCGCGGATTGGTTGCGGAGGGCGGAGACGTCAGGCTCCCGCGGCCCGAGCGGCCGCCGGGCTCGCGCGCCGCAGTAGGCTCGAGTGCGCACCGCAGCGCGGAGGTGTCCTCGGCCGGACCGCTTTACGCCGCCGTCGTCGCCCGGCTGTGCCGCTTGAACCGGGACGCGCCTCCGCGCTCCTCGCCGCCTCCATCCGCGCGGCCGCCGCTCCCCTCGCCGTAGGCACACACACCATGACGAAGAAAGAGAAGAAATCCTTCAACCAGAGCCTAGCCGAGTGGAAGCTCTTCATCTACAACCCGACCACCGGAGAGTTCCTGGGGCGCACCGCCAAGAGCTGGGGTGAGCGGGCGGCGGTTGGGCGCCGGGGCCGGCAGCGGTCCGGGGGGCGCCGGGCGGGGTGGGGTGGGAAAGGAAAGGCGGGAGGCGGCTCCCCGCGCGTTGGCCCCAAGAGCAGCCACAGCCTCCACCGCCCACAGCGGTTTTCGTTCGGGGCAGCCAGCCTCTCGTACGGGCGGCGGCGGAGGAGGGGCAGCGCGGCCCCATTCATTTCTAGCGTGGCGGGCGGGCCGTCGCTCGCTCCCGAGGCAGCGGGGCCCGCGGGGAGCCCCGGCCGGGCCACGCCGGTTCCTTCCTCTCAGCCGGGAGCGGGCGCACGTGCTGCCCAGGCCTCCCGCCCCGAGCGGCGCCGGAGGCTGGGGACCCCTGCCCGGAGCCGAGCTCCGAGCGTGCGGCGGCCGTGAGCCCGGGCCTCCTTTGTACCGAGCGCGCGGTCCGGGAGAGGCCCTGGCAGAGGCGGCCGGTGGCGCCGAGAGGTTCGGGGAAGCCAGACCCTGCCCCACGCCCGGGGAGAGGAAATTTCCACTCTCGCTGCTATCTTGTGACTCGTCCACGCTGCCACCCCAGTCGGAAGAGTGTGAGTGTTAAGTGTGTGGGTTGCATCAATGTGCCGCGGTTAGTTAATCATGCAAGTACTTGGTACATGAAAATGCACTTGAATTTGGACATTGAAAAGACCATTAAAAAGGTCGGTTCCTTTTTAATTACAGACGTCTTCTTCCTTGTAAAGAGGCTTCTTTTGGGGAAAGTAAATCCCAGGTGGAACAGTTTTTGTGCCTTCAAAGCATGTGATGGTTGTGTATTTAGCAGTTTTTCTGTGTATGACTTCTTTGTTTTAAAAGACATATTTAAACCATCCACCAGTGTGGTGCTGCTTTAGGGTGCCTCTTTTTTTTCTCCGAAAATTATATTAATGTCTGAATAAGGACTAGTGGTGTTTGTGTTTTTTGGTTTTGTTTTTGCTCTTTGCCTTTTGAAATACATTTTAGTTAGTAGGTCTTTTTTTTTTTTTTCTGAGTGAGAATAAATTTCTAGAGTTGGAAACTATTTGGGCACGACATTTTTAAGAGAAACATGAAGGGAGTAAATTAGCTATGACTCAGAAAATAAACTGTTGCTATTGACTGAAATTGTCAGCTCCTCCAGAGTGGAAAGGAGGCTTAAAGTCCTATCACAAGCGGAAAGTGGCCTTGGAGGTTTTTTTTTTTTTTTTTTTTAGTCCAACCCCCAGTTTAGAGATGAGAAAAATGAGATCTAGAGAGGTTGTGATTTTGCTTTGTGTAAAATTACATATTCCATAGAGCCAAGAAAAGAACCCACTTGTCCTTTAATCCTAGTCTAGCAGTTTTATTATTTTACAGATGCCTTGCCTAAGTAACACTCATGATTTTTATTTAGATAGCAGTCTTTTGGGAACCCATTAATGTGAAGAGGAAATAAATCTTGCAACCGGAGTTAAATGGGAGGAAAGTGGTGAACAATTATTATTGCTTCCAGAATGTGCTACCATTTTGCTGAAGGAATTTTTTGAGTGGTGGAGAGGGATTAATTTTTGTAGACCTCCCTCAGTGCCTTCTCATTTCCAGTAATAAGTACCTTCATTTTATGTCAGAATGACATTTCTTAATGCAGATAATGCTTCTTACCTTTGTATTCATATGGTGTTGAAGTTGAGATTTTATTGGGTCTATGCATTTAAGTAAATAATATGCACAGATTGTCAGAGTGTAAAGGCATTATTATATAAGGTCTATAGTACTACAGGTAAAGTTGGGATTCGTTTTAGGATTAAGGGAAGACTTTTATTCAGAACTGAAAATAAAGGTTATTCTTACCAACAAATAGTACACTTCTGCATTTATTGGAGTAATAGTAAACCAGTGCAAAAAGGCATAAATTATCATCCATAATCCTATCCCAACATAAGGGCATTTCTCTAAGGATATATGTAGATGTGGTGTGTAGAGGCTGAAGTCCATACTCTGCTCTCTAGGCTGTGTAACCTTGAGCATGGGGAGTCTGCCTGGAGAAAGGGGTATCTTGTTCTAATTCTCAGAAAGGCACTGTATGGGCTAGCTGCCTGATCTCATCACCACAGAGATATCCACTATTAATATTTTGGTATATATCTGGGCATACTTAAATGGGTCTAATGTTAATTTTTCTTTTTTTAACAAAAAGAGATCCTACAATAAGTTGCTGTATATTGTATATGTATATGTTTGGAGTATATTGTAAGCACCTTCCCATGTTAATAAGCTCTATGTCATCATTTTTAATAGCTCACTAATGTTCTATTGCATAGTTCCATGTACTACCATGATTTTTTAAAACAAACATGTTTATTAACATGTATATCTTATGTATGCATGGGAGATACCGAGGGAAGTATGACTGCTATTTTTTTACTAGTACTTTATTGTATGTACTGGTCTCTCCTCCCCCATTCCCTCCAGCTTGGCATGTACTTTTTGCAGATTTATTTTTTGAGATATGTTTCTACTAGTGCAAATTTCTAGGTTGTGTTTAATATGTGTACCCTTTACATTTTGGAAATAGGTTACTTTTTCTTTTTTTAAAGAAACTCATTTGCAATTTTTTCTAGTTGCTTTTGAATTTAAAAGTAGGTGTAGGAGGGAGGTGGTTACTTTTTTTTTTTTTTTTGGTTGACTTTGGTAAAGTTGCAGTGTCTGCTGGTGTGTAGAAAAAAGCCTCTATTTCAAAGATTTTATAAAGACATTCATTTAAGATGTTTACTAATTTTTACATTCAAGTCTTTAGTACATTTGTCCCATTTAATTTGAGGTTCCTCTTCAAGTGCATGGGGATATATTAAAAGCACTCAAAGACCAATTTTGCCATTTCTACTCGAGATAGAGAAAATACTGTAAACTATACCATATTGTGTTGTTTTATAATTTTTTTAAATTTTATTTATTTTTGAGAGAGACAAACACAGTGTGAGTGGGGAAGGGTCAGAGAGACAGGAAGAGAGAAAGTCAAGCAGGCTCTGCACTGTCAACACAGAGCCGGATGCAGAGATCGAACTCACAGAACTGTGAAATCATGACCTGAACCAAAACTGAGAGTCGGACACCTAACTGACTGAGCTACGCACACACCCCACATTGTCTTATTTTAAATGGCCATATAAAAGACTTTTTATAAGATTTTATTTTTTTTTAAGTAATCGCTACACCCATTGTGGGGCTTGAACCCATGACCCCAAGATCCAAGAGTTGTGTATGCTGTACTGACTGAGCCAGCCAGGTGCCCCTATATGAAAGATTTTGAGTTGCTTCTTGTATGTGTGGCAATTTCAAAATGCTTATTGCATACATAAAATCACTTCATTTGATTTTCACAACAACCTTCTAAAATAAAGCACGCTATGTAGGTGATCAGAGTATACCTAGAGTTGGTTTCTTAAGCTGAACAGTAATGACACATCAGGAATAAGTAGTTGCGATGTGTGAAAATAGGACAGAGAAAATTTAGCATCTTGTGGCTTATGTTGCAAATATTAAAACTAAACGCATTAAATACAATTAGAGTGAAAGATAGCTTAGAAATCATCTATTATTTAAACTATAAGTAATGGACCATGTGTTGCAATGAACATTTTTAAGAATAATGAAATAGAATAGTAAAAATACCAGTTTATTCTACCTGGTAAGTTTATCCTAAGGAAAGTTTATCCTTGAAACTTTTCTGTACTTTGTATATACAGATATCCTGATGTAAAATGTATTTCTTATTGTGGCTCACAGTCAGAAAAGCTTAAAAGCCACTAATGTAGCCCTGTGTCTTCATTTCATAGCTGAGAAAATTGAACTCAGAGATCTGATTTGTCAAAATTCACTCCACCATAGAATCCTTGGCCTTTTAGGCTTACCTCCAAGGCCGGAGGTTTTTCTGTTTGTTTTGTTTTGTTTTTTTCAACTATGCTATGACTTGATGTCATTTAATGACATCTGCTGTGGGCTTCTTTGGAGTTCATTATCTGAAGGCTGTCGGTAGATGCTCTGTATTAATATTTACTTAAAACTTGAGTTACTGATTTCCAAGCATAGTCAGGATTCTGGACCGAAAGTATTTAACATCTACACTGTGTTCATGTACCTTTTCTTTTATTATAGATCCACGAAGTGCCATTTTCTCAGTTACCTGCTCCCATTCTGGGTTATGCCTCAGTAAATGCTCTGCTTTGGAGATCAGACTCCATCCCATCTTGGGTGTCTGACTGTAGGGGAGAAGGCAAGTGTGTT